TGGCGATGAAGTGGCTCTTATAGTTGGGTTGCCGAATAGAGGAACCAAACTTACATGGATGAGGGAGCCTCTATCCTAGTTCACATCCATTGAATTTAAAAATAAAAGTAGAAATCCTAATCTTTATAAAATAGTAGTAAACATATTAAATTATTTATTAAAATTTTTCTTTCAAACTTATTTTTTCCATATAATAACTATAAGATACCTAGGAATCTTCTATTTTTCAAGAATGTGCATCAATTTACACGGTATAATTGGACATAGGCCATATAGAGGTTTTTGGTAAACCAATTTGATGAACTACTTCGGAAGTCACAACTTCAGAGGTCTCTTACTACTAAAGAAGAAAAACTGAACCTCAACCAAAAGTAAGGTCAATAGTGACCACGAGTTAAAGTTCACTGTCGATGAAGTGGCTCTTATAGTTGGGTTGCCGAATAGAGGAACAGAAGTTACATGGATGAGGGAGCCTCTATCCTAGTTCACATCCATTGAATTTAAAAATAAAAGTAGAAATCCTAATCTTTATAAAATAGTAGTAAACATATTAAATTATTTATTAAAATTTTTCTTTCAAACTTATTTTTTCCATATAATAACTATAAGATACCTAGGAATCTTCTATTTTTCAAGAATGTGCATCAATTTACACGGTATAATTGGACATAGGCCATATAGAGGTTTTTGGTAAACCAATTTGATGAACTACTTCGGAAGTCACAACTTCAGAGGTCTCTTAGCTATATGAGTGGTTATGTCACACTCTTGATGGTATGAATTTTCTAAGATATTATGTTTTTTGGCATGATCATTAGTGGTTACATACTAATGTATTATATTGCATGTATTGCTGGTATGGTTTTTTTAGCATACCAATATTCTTTCAAGACCTCGCATCATGTGGTGGTCGAAGTCAATGATAATGAGAAATAAGATCTGCAGTGCTTTTATTTCAGAGCTACCTGATCATCAGGTAGAAGCTAATGCAATAAAGTAGATTACTTTAATCTTTATAAAAGTGAATATAGACTAAAGAAAACTATATTTTCTTACATATTCATGACTATTTCAGGAAGGAAAGAGTCAGCATTGTTATCTGACCTTTTCGATGTACATTACTCGCTATTAGCCACCCCTTCTTCATCCCTAATAGCTCAACATATTTCACTTTTGGAATCTATGTCAGTGGCCACAAATGAAGTCACTCATATCAATGTACATATTCTCTCAAACATTGAAAATTATAAATTGATTAAGTCTATTTAGCGAATACTTATAGCTTTCGAAGACTCAATAAATAATAAGCATATG